AATGACCCAATTTTGTTCCTTTTTATGGCCGAGTAATATTCCATTGTATATATGTACCACATCTTCTTTATCCATTCATCTGTCGATGGGCATTTAGGTTGCTTCCATGACCTGGCTATTGTAAATAGTGCTGCGATGAACATTGGGGTGCATGTGTCTTTTTGAGTTATGAAACCCAGAATATCTTTAACCAGAGAATATGTTAGCAGCCACCTCAAAACCTAAGGACCTCACAATGTGGTCAGTTGAGTTTTGACCAAGTGCTAAGACACTTCAGTGGAGGAAAGAATAGTCTTTTCAATAAATGGTGCTTAGGCAACTGGATATCCGTAAATATAAGGATGAAGTTGGGCCCCTACTTCTCATAATAATACACAAAACTTAATTTAAAATGGTTTGTAGACATAAGTGTAGGAGATAAAACTTCTAGAGGAAAACTGAGGTATAAATCTTCATGACCTTGGATTAGGTTTCTTAGCTACAACACCAAAAGCACAAGTGACAGTAGAACAAGAGATAAATTAGACTCCATCAAAATTTAAAACTTCTGTGCTTCAAAAGTCACCATCAAGAAAATGAAAAGACAACCCACAGAATGGGAGAAAAGATTTGCAAATCACATAGCTAACAAGGGACTTGTATCCAGAATATATAAAGAAATCATACAATTCAACTATATAAGACAAATGGCCCAATTACACAGTGAGCAAAGGATCTGAATAGTCTTATCTCTAAATTGGGTACACATATGGCCAAGAAGCACACGAAAAGATGCTCAACATCATTAGCCATCAGGGAAATGCAAATCAAAACCACAGTGAGATGCCACTCCACACTCACTAGGATGAATAAAACAAAAAAGACAGACAGTATCAAGTGTTGACAAGGATGTGGAGAAATTGGAAGCCTCACATACTTCTTGTTGGAATACAAAATGTTGCGGCCCCTTTGGAAAACCGTTTGGCAGTCCCTCAAAAAGTTAAACAGAATTAACGCGTGACCCAGCAATTCTACTCCTATACTCAAGAGGAATGAATACATACGCGCACACAAAAATTTATACGTGAATGTTCATAGCAATATTGTTTATAGTAACTAAAAAGTAGAAGCAACCCACATGTCCATCTACTAGAGAATGGATAAACAAAATGTGGTATATTGCTTAAATGGAATAATATTTGGCATAAAAAGGGATGAAGTACTGACACATGCTGTGACTTGGAGGAATCTTGAAAACGTTATGCTAAGTGAAATAAGCCAGACAAAAAGGATCGCACGTTGTCTGATTCCATTTTTATGAAATGTCCAGAACGGGCAAATCCATAAAGAGACAGAACATAGATTAGTGGGTACCTAAGCCTTGAAATGGGGTGGGTAGCAAGAATGTGGAGTTACTGCAAGTGGGTATGGGAATTCTTTAGGGGATATCGACAGTTTTCTAAAATTAGATTGTAATGATGATTATAGAACTCCGAATACGCTCAAACCCACAAACCGTACACTTTAAATGGGCGAATTTTATGATATGTGAAGTATATTTCAATAAGGCTGTAAAAAAAAAGAAAATCAACACCCTTCCCCCTAAAAAAAAAAACTTAAGACATATTTTTGTGTCTGTACAGTCCTGGAAAACCAACAAATCCAATACCTGCCTATTGAGTGCTTGTAATATATCATGATAGCTACTTGCTTCACTTCATTTTACCTTGTCTCTTGTTGGAAGATCTTCTTCACCATCTGTTCATTCAACAGACAGTTTGTGAATGCCTATTCTGTGCCAAATATGGTGCCAGATGCTTGGGATAGATGCCTCATTTCACACAACAGCCCAAGATCCCTCCCTTCATGGAGCTTGCATCCAATTGGATTTACCTTGATTGTATGTTCAAGTACAGCTTAGCTCTGAGGGCTCATTCTAGGGGCCCATGGTTTCAATACGATCCCATCCTTTTCACAGCTCGGTTGTAGTCAGTTATTAAATTCAGTTTGAAGTCAAAAGAAATGACAAGAAATTTCTCGAGAGTAGTGGGGTTTCAAGTAAATATTTCCATAGATAGCTCAACTTATTTGAGAAGCCTCAAGGGGAACTAGAAATGATGACAGAAAAGTAATGGTAAGAGAAATTGAGCCCAGTGATTAACTCCCTTGAAATATTAGCCTGAGTTCCACGTTCTGTGCTTGTCCATCAGTGCGTTCTTAATTCTTTCTTTTGTTTATGAAACATTTAGCAAGTATGTCTGTGTGCTAATCTGACACAGGACATGATCTCATAGTTCGCTGCAAATGGCCAGTGACCACCATCTCCTCAATAAGGCAGTATCTTGAGTTGTCTCTCTGCCCTGTCTTACAGTGATCAGGAATAAAACTCAAGGAATCCTGGTCTCTGGAAACAGGACATGATTTCTCTGAACAGCCATCAGTGAATTTTTATTCTGAACTCCTGACCCCACTTCCGGTTTGTGTCATTCATAGAGACTGAAATTACTCCAGTTAAAGAAAGTATCCCTAATCAAAAGGGCTTAATGACTGGGCCACGTCTCCTCCCTGAGTTATACTGGAGTAATCAGTGCTATTGTCGTTCTTTGTAACACTGCAAGCTTTTCTCCTGCGCTGTGTTAAAATCATAAAACTCACGCATGCTCTCTCCATTTCCCACAGCTGTGATTTCTTGGTCTCTGTCTGTGAATAAGCATTTCAGAATTGTCGTGAGATGGAGGAAATAGCACGTGCAGAGTATTTCCCAAGCCCAGTTGCCAAGAATGAGCTAATTTTAACCCTCCCTTGCATGCAATGAGCCTTAAAAACTTCAAATACAAGCCATTCTACAATGATCTACCTTGCCAGGAGAATGGCAGGCTTTCATTGTAGAACCCCGGCCTTCCTGAAGTATACCAGAAGTAAGATTTAAAATTATGCCATAAGATTAATAAGATATTCAACCATCCTTTTCCTTTTTGATGTTTTTATAGAGATAAAATACAAAGTTCATGTCTGTATATAAAAGAAAAGTTAAATAAATGTAATGTAACCTTGCTATCTTGCTTTTGGAAAGTTTGTCCAAAAGATATTGATGATAATCTGTCCTCCATAAAAGAATAATATTAGTTTTTTCTAACTTTTTATGTTTAACAGGCTAAAATTGCACTTTCCTTCAAAATAGAAAAGCAGGAACTGCAAATATATTTCAAGTGTCAGTTTTCAATCAGTTGGTAATAGCTACGTACATGGTGTGTTAAGAAAGATCCTGAGGGGCTTCCCAGGTGGTCCAGTGGCTAAGACTCCGTGCTCCCAGTGCAGGGGGCCTGGGTTCGACCCCTGGTCAGGGAGCTAGATCCTGCTTGCTGCAACTAAAGATCCCGCACATGGTAACAAAATCCCGCATGCTGCAGCTAAGACCCAGCGTGGCCAAATAAATAAATATTTTTTTTAAAAAAGCAAGACCCTGAGGTTCAGTATGGCTTAGCAAAAAAGACTGCTGTCATTGGATAATAAATGTTTTCCGGGGGTGCAAGAAGATAGGGGGTGGACATGTAAGTCCTATATTTGCCATCCCTGCATTATTGGAAGAAGAGTTAACATTTAAAGTATCTTTTCATAGGGAACACTCTTGCACTGTTGGTGGGAATGTAAATTGATAACAGCCACTGTGGAGAACAGTATGGAGGTGCCTTAAAAAACTAAAAATAGAACTACCATACGACCCAGCAGTCCCACTACTGGGCATATACCCTGAGAAAACCATAATTCAAAAAGAGACATGTACCCCAATGTTCACTGCAGCGCTATTTACAATAGCCAGGACATGGAAGCAACCTAAGTGTCCATCGACAGATGAATGGATAAAGAAGATGTGGCACGTGTATACAATGGAGCATTACTCAGCCATAAAAAGAAACGAAACTGAGCTATTTGTAGTGAGGTGGATGGACCTAGAGTCTGTCATACAGAGTGAAGTAAGTCAGAAAGAGAAAAATAAATACGGTATGCTAACGCATATATATGGAATCTTAAAAAAAAAAAAAAAAAAAAGGTTCTGAAGAACCTGGGGGCCGGAAAGGAATAAAGATGCAGACGTAGAGAATGGAATTGAGGACAGGGTGTGGGGGAAGGGTAAGCTGGGACAAAGTGAGAGAGTGGCATGGACATGTATACACTACCAAAGGTGAAAGAGATAGCTAGTGGGAAGCAGCCGCGTAGCACAGGGAGATCAGCTCAGTGCTTTGTGCCCACCTAGAGGGCTGGGATAGTGAGGGTGGGAGGGAGTCTCAAGAGGGAGGGGATATGGGGATATATGTATACGTATAGCTGATTCACTTTGTTGTACAGCAGAAACGAACAGAACATTGTAAAGCAATTATACTCCAATAAAGATGTTAAAAAAAGAAAAAAGTAGACAAATAAAAAAATATCTTTTCATGACAGATATAGAGAACAAATTAGTGGTTACCAGTGGGGAGTGGGAAGAGAGGAGGGGCAAGATGGGGTAGGGGAATAAGAGGTACAAACTACTATGTATAAAATAGATAAGCTACAAGGATATATTGTACAACACAGGGAATATAGCCAATATTTAATAATAACCATAAATGGAATATAACCTTTAAAAAATGTGAATCAGTATATTGTACACCTGAAACTTATATAATATTGTATAGCAACTATACCTCAGTAAATTCTTTAATAAAATATGTTTTCGGGCTTCCCTGGTGGTGCAGTGGTTGAGAGTCCGCCTGCCGATGCAGGGGACACGGGTTCGTGCCCCGGTCCGGGAAGATCCCACGTGCCGCAGAACGGCTGGGCCCGTGAGCCGTGGCCGCTGAGCCTGCGCGTCCGGGAGGGGCCACAGCAGTGAGAGGCCCACGTACCGCAAATAAATAAATAAATAAATAAATAAAATATGTTTTCAGCATTTACCAGAAATATACTAGTCTACATTAAAAAAAGAGCATTTAACTAAAACAAATGCCAAATTCATGCTCACCATTTTATCTATCCCATAGGTCAATGCATCACGTCAAGAAGCCAAATTGATGGAGGAGTGTGATCTTCTTATTGAGATCATTCAGCAAAGACGACAAATTATTGGAACCAAGATCAAAGAAGGGAAGGTACGATTTCTAGGGCCGAAGGTTTTGTATTCTCTACCTAGAGAAAATATACGCCCATGCACTTCAATAGCTTAGGAAATAATGAATGACCCCTTCTTCTATATTGTCTATAATCTCCTCCTAAGTCTTGAAGACGTAGTTCAAAGCCTCTTGGTTGGCCATTTTTTCCTCCACCCTTTCTTTGTGTTACGGTCTCCTGTGCATACCTGTAATACAAAGGCTGCTCCGCTACCCAGCTCCAGGGCACAGCATGGAGCTCTGGTCTGTTGTAGCTACTGTTTTCCATCTCTCCTCTCTATGAGAAGGTGGGTTCCATAGAGGAAAAGTTCATTTCATATTTATTGCTATATCCTAGCAATCAAAACAGTATTAAATAAATGTTTAAATCAATCAGACTTTATATACAGAAATTATGAAGTGCTTTCTCATGCTCTTGAGGGAATTTAGACAGGTGTCAGTTTCATCGTGGCAAAACTCCTGTAGTTTCACTATATCTTATACCCCTTTGTGGATATACAATATTAATAGTACTTCTTTGCTAATGTGTGTATGTTTAAAATTCCTATGGTTTTATAGTAAACTATATTCAAAAAGCAATTCACAAACTTAGGTTATATTCTTTATGGCCATCTTCTTCTTTATTCAAAATTCATTCAGAAATGTTGATAACTTAAGAATCCATCACTTTATCCTATTTTTAAATTAGTCATGTTTTTATTGAAATACTTATGATCTACTTTATTTTCCCCATTTCTCTGCCACCCTCACAAGACAATTTTGTAAATATCTAAAACTAGAAACATTCATTCCAGATCCAGTCAGTTCATGAATCTCTGTTATTACTGCTCATAACTATGACACGTATAATTAAATCCACTTGGCAAGTATTTAGTACACAGATTACAACAGCTAATGTATGTGCTCTTCTCTGTTTTCTTCAAACTTTTAAAGGTGCTTCTAATATTGTAGAATGTTTTAGACTGCTTTGTCTGTATGCATTGAAAAATATTTATACATGTACACTGTGATGGTGATCAGAAAAGTTGAAGTCAAATCAAATAGTTCTGGAAGCTGTTCCAGTAGATTATCAAATTAATACACAATTCTTCCCTGGCCAGGGACGGACTCAGATGCATTGAACAGCTACTTTCCCCCCACATACAAATTATCCTGGAATCTGTACAGAATCTACTTCCTCTTCTGTCATCATGCACCATGTGTATTTCTCTTAATACCTGACGTCTTCCGGGTTCTCAGGCACGTGAGAGCCTGAAAACAGCTGTAATTAATTATTAACATACACGAGGAAGGTAATTTGTTGCCTTTACGTGGTCGTGTGCAGGGATCAGCTCTCAATATGCATATTACTTCCTTATCGCTGCTGGAACAGATTACCACAAACTTGGTGGCTTAAAACAACAGAGATTTATTGACGCCTGACCTTTTGGAGGTCAGAGGTCTAAAATCAGTCACAACTGGGCTAAAGTGAAGATTTCAGCAGTGCTTTTTCTTTCTGGAGGCTCTAGGGCAGAATCCACTTCTCTTCTGGCTTTTAGAAGCCACCCACATTCCTTGGCTTGTGGTTTCTTCATATCACTCTGAGCATTGCACCCATCCTCAAATCTCTTTCTCTGGCACAGACTCTCCTGGTTCTCTCTCATAAGGACCCTTATAATTACATTGGGGTCAACCAGATAATCTAGGATATCCCGCATCTCCAGATCCTGCACTTCATCACATCTGTGAAGTCCCTTTGGTCATGTAAGGTAACATATTTTTAAAACTCCTGGGATTAGGATGTGGGCATCTTTGGGGGCCCTTACTCAGCCTGCAGTGACTCTCCGCCACAACTTCCTGGCCGGCAGGTCTTCCTTTCCCTTACGTAGCTTCCCAGCATGAGGGCTCCTCTCGTGAGCTAGAGCAAAGTAGCGAAGGGGTGTGTGTGTCCCCAGTTCCAGCCATGGTGATGCATGGGCTTCAGGCTCTCGTGCACCCACTCTACCCTGGACACATGTCCGTGATAGGGAACATAGTAAAACAGAAAAGCAAAGAGACACATAGCTGGGCCCAAAACCAGATAACCATCTCCATGGGCCAGAAATAGAAGAAAACTACAAAGCCATGATGGTGGCTTTTTAAGACGCAGGCTCCTGGGACTTGGTCTGGAAGAGAGTAAAGCAGCTACACCTTCAACTCCTATGGCTAAATAGTTTTGGAAACATTGGGGTAAAAGGGCTAGAAGTGCTCCAGATGGTATGGGAAAGTGAAATCAGGCTCATTGGTTGATGCCATGGGCTGTGTAAGGCTTCGCAGTTCATTCAAAGGGACCGAAAACAGATTATTGCCAGTTTTCACCTAGGGCCATAGCTGTTAGCAAACTTCAGGCCTGGGAGTCTAGAGTAAGTCAGCCAGGTTGGAGCCTGGCTCTGCACTGTTTCTGATACCTACACAAAACGGGAGCCTCAGAAATGCAGAGATAATACAAGATTCTGGAATGAGGACCCCCAAGGATGGGGTGAAGGAGACTGTAAAACAGACAGGAGAGGCTAAGCAAGGTGGGTGAGGGAGAAAAACATTATGAATGACTTCAGCCCTTGAACACAGAAAGTCAAACCACAATTCCAAAGCAAATAAAGAGATCTTGAATTTCTAAAAATACAGCCAACAGAATCAAAGACATCTTCTCACCTCAGTTGAAATTAATTTTATGTGAAAATGTTAAGAAGATGTTCAAAGAGATACATGAAGGAATAACTTCTATCTTAAAAGAGCAAAAAATTGTGAAACCACAAAAGAAGGATGTGAAATAAGAAAAAAAACGATATAAAAATAACAAATTAGAAGTTTCGGAGGGAAAAACGTGTGCACTGAAATGGCAAAGAAAACTGAGCGGGAAGGGAATTTTGGAAGCTGAGTTTTAGCCTCCACATAGGGGAGGCTGTCTACACATAAGAATAGGAAACTTGACCCATACTTCACACCACATACAAAAATTAAATGTCAATGGATCATATACCTAAATGTAAAAGGTAAACACTGAAAATTCTAGAAGAAAGAAAACATGGGAGGAAATCTTGGTGAACTTCGGTTGGCCAAAGATTATATACACTGGCAGAAACATAAAAGAAATATTTACATACTATAGAGATAATTATATACTGTATTTCACCAAAAGTAAAAACTTCTCCTCAAAAGGCACTCTTTTTTTTTTTTTTTTGCGGTACGCGGGCCTCTCACTGTTGTGGCCTCTCCCGTTGCGGAGCACAGGCTCCGGACGCGCAGGCTCAGCGGCCATGGCTCACGGGCCCAGCCACTCCGCGGCATGTGGGATCCCCCCAGACCGGGGCACGAACCCATGTCCCCTGCATCGGCAGGCGGACTCTTAGCCACTGCGCCACCAGGGAAGCCCCAAAAGGCACTCTTAAGAGAATGTAAAGACAAGCCACATACTAGGAGAAAATACTTATAAATTATTTATTTAATAAAGTAATTGTATCCAGAATATATTACAAATTCTCAAAACTCATTAATAAGGAAATAGATGACCCCTTCACCAAAATGGATAAAAGATTTGAATAGATAGATACTTTACCAAAGAAGGTATAAGGATGGCAAGTAAGCACATGAAAAGATGGTCAAAGTCATTAATAATTAAGGAAATGCAAATTAAAACCTCAATGAGATACCACTACTTACCTACTAGGATAGTTAACTTAAAAAGATGGACCATGCCAAGTGTTGGTGGGAATGTGAAGGAACTATAGCTCACACACTGTTTCTAAGAATGGAGACGGTATATTTTAGAAAACTGTTTGGCCCGTTCTTAAGTAGTTAAACATACACTTACCATTCGATCCAGCCATTCTAGGTGTTTACCAAGAAAAATGAAAGCGGATGTCTATATAAAACTTGTATGTGAATTTTCACGTTAATATTAAGGGTAATATTAAGGGTAATTTCCTGACTGGAAATGACCCGAAGTCTATCAACAGATGAATAGACGAACGGTTTGTGGCATTTGCGCACAATGCAGTGCTATCCAGCAAGGAGTGAACTCTTGACACATGCAACAACATGAATCTCAATATAATTATGGTGAGTGAGAGAAGCCAGACAGAAAATAGTATATACTGCATGAGTATATTCATACAAAACTCTAGAAATAACACTTTCTAATAATCTACAGTGACAGAAAACGAGTCAGTGGATGCTTAGCGATGAGTGACAGAGGGGTGGGCGGGATGAATTACAAAGGGACAGGAGAATGGGGGGGGTGATACATATGTTCATTATCTTGAATGTGAGGACTGTTTAATGGGTTTACACGTATTTGAAAACGAATCAGATTTGTACTTGAAATATGTGCAGTTTCTTATATATTAATCATACCTCAGTAAAGCTGTTTATAAGACAAGGAAATTGTACATTTGTACAATGGAACAGTCTTCAGAAATTAAAAGTAACGAACTAGGGTGATACGTATTCATATGGACAGATCACAAAAATGGGAGCAAGTTTTATGATGATTCTTAGGGAATGAGGAATATTATATAAAATTTGATGAACTACCAAAAAAATCCCATATAATGTTTAGGCATATATACATCAACATGCTTGGGAGTCATCAAGAGGGTGCTCTCCTCTGGAGAGGGACCTGAATGAAATTAGGGAGGGACGCACAAAGGCTTCAATGCCATCGATAATAGTTTACTTCCTTTTGAAAAATCAGACGCTAATATGATGAAAGCACTGAGATTTGCTAAAGCCGGTACTGTGTATGGGAAAGTTGATCATATGACTTTAAAAACGGTCCGTATGTTTGAGATGTGTCACTTTTTGAAAGTGCACGTCTGCTCAGGGATATAATCTCAGAAGGCAGTGTTACTTGGGAAAGATGAAGAGAGGAAGGCCCCGTTCAGCTTTCCATTGAGTTACTACTTTGGTACACGACCGAGGACTGGTTCATCCCAGACCCAGGAATTCACAGTGAGTAAGTCCCTGGCCAGGGCATTGGGTGTCAGAGATACGTTTTAAAGAAAAGAAGAGCATGGGTGCCAACGCCCTGGAAATCAGAGAGGCTGGGCAGGGAGGGCAAGTATGGACTTGGTGCCCAGTGAGGGTGCCCAGGCTGGTGGTTGGGAAGTCTGAAGACACTCAATCCAGAGAAGGGCTAGCGACTTTGCCCTCATCTGTCTCTGGCGCCAATCACAATGCCATTCGATCTGGAGGAAACAAACCCACCGCAAATCCTCCAACTGGGGAGGTTGCCAATCAGGCGATGTCACACGTTAGCACATGCTGGTAATTCCTGCTCTCAGACCATTGCACCTTCTTTAAAATAAATAGCTCAGCAGCCTTTATACTGAGACTGATTGGAGAGTCTCAAGCTCTGAGACTCCCCGGGAAAGAACTGGCTTATTTCTTCAGTAGTAGGGGATAAATTTCACGCCAACACAGGAAAAGCTGACAGCAAACTCCAGATTAAGCCAATTATGTGTTTATGTTCAGACACGTACCTGTGGTAGAAGGCTGCAGCTGAAGAGAAAAAGGGTCCCTTCTCGTCACTGCTTTTATGTACTCTGAATCTCCAAAATGTAAGATAATTCCCCTGGACTACATGTCAGGGCTTTTGTATAGCCTGATAGAAACCCTGAGGACAGTCCTTGTTGATTGAGATACTTGTTTTAACTGAGGATCAATGGTTTGGACCTAACAATTTTGGGATGGGAACCCTACGTATATATGAAAGCATTTAAAATACATTTAAAGAAGAACAATGGGCCACTTTTAAAAAGCATTTGTAAGGTAAAATAAACAGCAAATAAATTGATTTAAATAGGCCTGTGTCCCCAAAAGGAGGCAGAGTATTTCCATGATGAGTGTGGAGTGAATTCCACAGATTACAGTGTGCAGTCGCACTTCCCAAAGGAAAAAAAGAAGAACGCTGGCAACGTGGAAAAAGTTTTAAGTAATATATTAAAGAAGTGTTTTCTAATGAAGAAATTCGTATATTGCTAAATACTCAGTGTCTGATTCTGAAGTGTGGTACCACATAGGACAGTGTTTTACAGAGTGTGTTCAAATCCAGGGCCATCTGATCAGAATCATTTAAGTCAGCAAACTTTTTTCTGTAAAGGGCCAGATAATGAACATTGTAGGTTTTGCCTTCGGTCTCTATCGGAACAGCTCACCGCTGCCCAATGGTGTGGTGTGAAAGCAGCCACAGGTGATTCATAAACAAACGCACGTGGCAGTGTGCCATGAAAACTATTTGCACAAACAGGTTGTGTGCTGGATATGGTCCACAGACCATAGTTCGTGAACTAACTTAGAAAAGTTTTTCTTTTCCTTTTTCTTTTTACTGAAACCCACGGTAAAAAAAAATACATATAACATCAAACCCAGCACTGACACACACACACACACATAAACAACACACACACACACACAGAAATAAGTTTTACAAAACTTATCTTGCCCTTTCTACCAGGAATGCTTTCTGCTACCTTCTTTTGTCCTCTCCTCTTTCATTTAGTCTTTTAAATGCTAATCCTCTCCATACTGACGATTCATCACCTGCAGATCAAAAAAACGTTCATTGCTTGTTAAAATGCGGATTCCTGCCACCCTGCCAATTACAACTCCTCACCTAGGATATGCGAGTGCCGGCCCAAACATCTACAGTTTTTCTTTAACAAAGGTCCCCAGCTGAATCTTGCACACACCAGGTTTGAAAAGCTCCAATCTGGTATATCAGATGGAATTTGTACACTGAACTAAAATTATAATTACGCCAACAGTTTTCTGTAAAAAATTCCTGTATTTTCAAAGGAGGCTCTCATTTGGGCTTGCTTCAACTTATGCATGATTTAGGGCTTTTTTTTTTCTTCTTCTTCCTTTTCCTCTTATGTCGCTTTTAATTTCCAGTATCATGATAGAAATTTTTTAAAAAAGAAGAAAATGGAGTTCAAGCATTTTTCCATTCTGTCATCTGTGGGGTCACTATTATTAGGTATACCGAAAGGACATGAAGTTATTCAGAAGGAATATTTGGTCCTTATTTTGTTGTTGTTGTTAGAATTGTGTTACATATCTTCAATTCTGCCGTGTAATTGAAAGCATTCTTTATGTTATGTGATTAAATATTTCTTCCTCTGACAGTTTCTTAAGGATACGTTCTAATGTCTTGAATTGGACTCTGTGCCTTTCTTAGCTTTACCTCTGGGTATAATGATGTTAGCAGCTGAATTCTATTTGGTGTAAAATAAGTGTTATTTTATTCAACTAATGAACACAGTTAATCTGCGGTGATGGTCACTATAATTATATACAATGAGGTAAATCTCTTACCGGGCTTAAGATAACATACTCTTTGCCCCAGAGTTTTGACAGTTCATTTCTCTAAAGCCTTTACTTTCAAGAATCTTTCTCACTCTTGCCTGCGGTCTTGTGGCCGATGCCTCACGATTCAGCATTCATTTCCTTTGTTTGCTGCAGGAGGACAGAGCTGAAATTGGACAGTCCTCAGAGGCCTCAAGTCCTGACACCTCCTTCCTTCCTTTTCTTCTGTTAGACTTGCGCGGGGACGATAATGATGAGTTGGAGAAAGGAGGAATTTCTCGGAGTTAGCAGGAATTGTGGAGGGAGGCTGAGCCTCCCTAGCCTTTCACCCAGGGCTGTTTTCCGTTCCGGAATGATCATAAAGCCGGCCAAGACCTGTCCCAGGCTGTGTGCACCGGGGCACCAGGCGCACGGCAATTCCAATTAGCCGTCTCATTTGAACTTGGCTTCTGGCCAGAGGGCTTCATCTCTGAGCACATTTCAAACACCAGAGCAAATGGTCAAGTGGGTTACCGTGGACTTATCTGGGCCTGCCCCAGAGGTTATGGTCAATTACGTTTGAGGGTCGTTTGCAAGCAAGACGGAATCAGGAGTTGGAATGGAGGTTGGAACCAAACGTGCGTTTTTATCCCGACTGGGAAATGCTTATCAAAATAGTTTTAGTTATCAAGTAAGCACAGAGTGCCTGGAAATGACGTTCCCGGTGAGGGGAAATGGCCCAGCTGTGCTTTTTTTGGCTTTCTCTCATCGGTTCAACAGGAAAAATATTAATCAATGGGAAAAAAATGCTCCCTTTCTCTTAATTTAACACATGAGTTTGAGATAGTGTGGGAAATAGTGATGCCTAATGTTTTTACATCGCGATTTTATTACATGGATAGCAAAGAACTTTTTAGAAAATGGTTTTGACTGAAGGCACACATTTGCACCTATAGAGGTGTTTTATTTTCTCAATGGCCCAGCTGAAAAATGGAACTAGAGAAAGTTTCAGGGTTCCCTACGATCTTATGGTAATTGTGTGAGGGAAGGGGTCCGGTGACCCTCTGTAACTCACACTGGGCAACACCTTTTTCCCCCATCAACAGGGAAGCAATTCGCAAGTCAGGGTTTCCTCTTAAAACAAATTAGCAACACTTCTCCAAGGAGATAAAGAATAGCTAAGACAAGAGTGCCATAACTGGGGTTTCCGTCTTTCTCTGCCTCCTTTTTGAACATTTACTGAAGGATGACTCGCATACAATAAAACGCACACACCGGGAGGGTCCAGCCCGACACGTTTTCACTAAGCGAGCCCACCCGTGTAACCATCTTCGTGCCTCTTTTGTTCAAGGTGATGAGGCTTCGCAAACTGGCTCAGCAGATTGCAAACTGCAAGCAGTGCATTGAGCGGTCGGCATCACTCATCTCCCAAGCAGAACACTCTCTGAAGGAGAATGATCACGCGCGTTTCCTACAGACCGCGAAGAATATCACTGAGAGGTGAGTGCGGGGGGCTGCTGGGAAATTCTCGGCGCCTGGGCGCCTGTGTCTGGGGTGTGATTGGTTGGCCTTGCCCTGCCTTGCCTTTGTTTGCATTTTCAAGGCCGAGTACCACAGAGAATAGAGGCTTTGAGGTGCTTTGTTCCAGCTAAAGATGCTTTCCTTTGACATGTCAAAGCCTTTTCAGTATCAGCCTAGAGTTCAAGGCCTTTGAAACAAGAGTCCGCCAGTTAGAAAGAATGAAATCAGCCTGCTTTTAGTGGGGGAAGAAAGCTTACAATGGCACAAAACAGCATTTACTGTGACTCTCAGACCTGATCTTATCGTGTACTTGATAACAAAGCATCAAAATGAAGACCAAAACATAAAAGGGAATCTTTTCTTCCATCTCAGGGCTTATCTAGTTTTTCAAAATCGCCCAGGTGTTATTCTCTGTTAGGCCTGTTTTTATTTGGTTGAGAAGCTTTGCCTCTCCTGAAAGGTCAAGACCGACTCATGTGGGAGACAAAGAAAGGACAAAACTGTCAACTTCATACCTCCTTCTTTTAAAATATTCTTTATTCTATGGTAGGGGGACATAAAAATGACATGATTTGAATGGGCAGGTCAGCGGTGAAACTGACAGGGGTCACTGTGCCTTCAGTGCTCGTACTTGATGGGCATAAAATTATTCACCTTCACTGATGCAAACACATAGCAATTCTTGTGGAGCCCAGGAAAAGCACCTAATGCCACCTAAATGACATCTCCAACCAATGCCAGTGGCCTTGACTCTTCATTCGTTCAAAGTTTCAGAGTCAACTGATCCTCTTCCAAAGCCGTAATAGAAGACCATCCCTAGAAGACCCCCAGACAGCTCCTTCATGCTGGTCTGTTATCCTAGAGCAGGAGTCTGCAAACTTCGCGGGCCTCTCACTGCTGTGGCCTCTCCCGTTGCGGAGCACAGGCTCAGCGGCCATGGCTCACGGGCCCAGCCGCTCCGCGGCATGTGGGATCCTCCCGGACCGGGGCACGAACCCGCGTCCCCTGCATCGGCAGGCGGACTCGCAACCACTGCGCCACCAGGGAAGCCCAGGAGTCTGCAAACTTTGCCTGTAAAGGACCAGAGAGTAAATATTTTCAGCTTTGCAGGTTATCAGGTCCCCATCACAGCTACTCAACTCTGGGTAGGTCTCCAACAGCCTGGTGTAGATGGAAATGAATGGGCGGGCGAGGGTGTGTTCCAATAAGACCATTGACAAAAACAGGCGGCAGGCCAGATTCGGCCCTCAGGCGGTACTTTGCCAACCTTTGGCCTAGGGCAAAAAATACCATCTTCTGACTTGAATTTCTTCGAGGAAGGCGAAAGAAAACTAGTGATTATGGAGGGCTTGCTTGTGTTGCACACTGCTGATTCTCAGAATACCACATAGAGGCAGGTGGTGGTACTTCCGTTTTCACTGTTCCTTCAATGGGAGGAGGGTAGAGTATCTTTACAACTCTGGTCGAGAATCCAACCGGCTTCTTTGTGTTACTTCTTCTATTTGAGAAAATTTCCTCTGAGACTGGTTAGATACTTATCTCTTCCAAAGCACGTGGATAACAGCTGGTTACCACCCCTCTTATATCCTTAACATGGTCTCCTCCCTTCTCCAAGAGCGGCCAGCTTCTTTCCTCATGACTCCTAGGTTCCAAGTATTTAATTGTCTTCGCTGCTCTCAGCTGCACCCAGTTGCCTGAAATATTCCTGCTAAAGTTAAAAACTGCACGCGGCACTAATACTCCAGTGTCCCCAGGACACTCTGCTAGACAGCGTTTACACTTACGTCATGGTTTCCCACTGGGATCCGATAGGACTTTTCTCCAGCTGTAAATTGTGAGATGTCCAGATGAAATGGCTAGTGTGGGCTGCACGTCTCAGCAATCCCTAAAAATCCGATGCAGTCTAACACGAATAAATTCTCACCTAGCAGGGGGGAGAATGTGGCCCCGTAACAGTTAAGAGAGAACTTAACTGGATGTTAAGACCTGCATTTGAAGTCTAACACAGCGCATGGATGCCCACATGTGATCTCGCTCAGACCCAGCAGGTCATACCCGGATCCATTCAGCTCCACCTCTCACAAGCCCATCTCATCAAGAACAGAAACGTGACCGATTGCTCTTTCTACAAATGAGTTGTATCATATACTGTATTCTCAGGCCTCGCTAATATATAGTTCTCCGTGTGATTGTATGTACACTTTTCTAAAATGATGTTAAATTAGCAACACTCTTCACTAAATCCAGGCATAAGAAAGTTGGCCCACTGCTTATGAGAAGTCTACACTTCCATCAGATGTGAATACGTAGTGCCTGTAAAATTTTGCTAGGAGCCCTTGTCCCTGTTTCTGCATCCTATCTCTTTCTGTCTCTATTTGTCAATCCTCTTGGTCAATTCCTGAGCCCTTTTCCCTTTCCAGCAATTAGAATATAGTAAAAAGGCACTGGGCTTGGACTTGGAATTTGGAATCCTGGGTTAAATCCTAGAAATGTCACTTTTTGACTGTTGTTCTTTGGGCTTCTCCAAGAGCTTTTTAAAAAAAAAACGAAAACATTTCTTTAAAAATTTTTTTTTTTTTGGCTGCGTCGGATCTTAGTTGCAGCACGCAGGATCCATTTTTTTTTTTTTTTTTTTTTTGCGGTACGCGGGCCTCTCACTGTTGTGGCCTCTCCCGTTGCGGAGCACAGGCTCAGCGGCCATGGCTCACGGGCCCAGCCGCTCCGCGGCATGTGGGATCCTCCCGGACCGGGGCACAAACCCATGTCCCCTGCATCGGCAGGCAGACTCTCAACCACTGTGCCACCAGGGAAGCCCTTTTTTTTTTTTTTTAAATAAATTTATTTATATATTATTTATCTTTGGCTGCATTGGGTCTTTTGTTGCTGCGAGCGGGGGCTACTCTTCGTTGTGGTGCGCGGGCTTCTCATTGCGGTAGCTTCTCTTGTTGTGGAGCATGGGCTCTAGGCACGCGGACTTCAGTAGTTGTGGCAAGCAGGCTCAGTAGTTGTGGCGCACGGGCTTAGTTGCTCCGCGGCATGTGCGATCTTCCCTGACCAGGGCTTGAACCCGTGTCCCCTGCATTGGCAGGTGGATTCTTAACCACCACGCCACCAGGGAAGTCCCACTCAGGATCTTTCGTTGTGATGCGTGGGCTCTTCATTGCAGCGCACAGGCTTCTCTCTAGTTGTGGCGCATGGGCTCCAGAGTGCGGGCTCTGTAGTTGTGGCGTGCAGGCTTAGTTGCCCCGCGGCATGTGGGATCTTAGTTCCCCTACCAGGGATTGAACCGGCGTCCCCTGCATTGCAAGACGGATTCTTAACCACTGGACCAGCAGGGAAGTCCCCAAGAGCTATTTTTGACTTAGAAAACTGGACTCATACTAGCTACCTCTATCAGTAGTTGCGATAACATTGCTGGCGACTCCTATAAACAGGCCTTAAGTGTTGTAGATAGTCCATAATGTTTGTTGGATTTATGTTTTCATATCACTTAACATTCTTCTCTAGAACGTGACTTCACAGTCGTGTTTACTACTGTGTCTGCCTTGGGCTTTGGTGCCTGTGTATTTCTAAACTATCTTTATTCTTCTATTCGAGGGTGGAATGCCCAGAACAAACTTTTAATCCTGCAGGCCTCCCTAAAGTGAGAGTTGGATGTGATTTTTCTGCATCGTTAAACCACTTAAAGTGGACATGTTCGCCTACAAGCTGAATCAGACCACAAGTTTTTCAATTCAGAAACATCAGAAAACCCCTAGGGGAGAGAGAGCCTCAAGTTTTACATTGTAGGAGATGCATATGCTTTGGAATCGAGCGCTTGGCTCTGTGCTAATTTGCTCAGGAGTAATTACAGGTAGCACTGGGGCTGCTCCCTAATCCTTGTGAGTCTCCTTTTGCTCATGTGCTCCCAGCGGGCAGGACCCCTGGCCATCTTGTTTCCACCATTATGGCCCCAGCATGTAGCAAACTGCCTTATCTGAATGAATGTGTGAACAAATCTATAAAACAGGGCCGATTATTCCTACCTAATATGGTCGCTGTAGGGATAAAATGAAATAATGGAGTAAAGATATTAGCTGAGTTCCTGTCTCAAGGTGAACTTACAATAAATGCTAATTTCCTTCCTTCCCACTCACTAAATGGATGCAAATGCATTGTATAACATACTATATTCTCAAGCCTCGCTAATAGATAGTTCTATGTGCACTTTTCTAAAATGATGTGAAATAAGCAAAACTCTTCACTCAATCCAAGTATAAGAAAGTTGGTCTACTCCTTAGGAGACATCTAAAATTAAAATCATTTTTAGCAGCAAATTATCTGTGTCAAGAGGATGATAAGAAGAAAACTCCCTCTGAACGGTACCCGTTTTTCAGAGTTCCTAGGAGGGACTCAGACTCCACTGGGATGTGGACAGGGATGACTCCTCTGTCCCTCACTGCCATAGGCAATTCAAGGATCCCGCAGAGTTCCCCAGAGTACAAACCGGAGAACTCCAGTTATCAGCTGGAAAGATGGCACTTATAAGAATTAGAGTGCATGTGACGAGTGATTTTTGAAATGTGTTCTACAGGGTGTTAATTGGTGTTAAAACAACAAGGTTCCAGGGTCAGACGCGTTTGGGAATTCCTGAGCTGACTGAAGTAAACCACACTTTGTTACTGTGTGAACTCACCGGGTTTTACCATGGTGATGTGCGTCGTAGCCCACCTGCCCGAGAGAGACCCATTGAGGTGCCATTGTCAGGCGGTTGGGCATGGGGGAATATTAAGTGGGAAGGGTAGAGCATCTTCCCCTGGTGTTGACTGTTCGGCAGAAATCTTGGAAGCACTCTAGCTCTAGACGTGTCTTCCTTCCAGAAAACTGGCCCCATGTGGCTGCTAGCAACTGAGTGTCATGGAGATTAGGGGCATCAAAGTCAAAATAGAAAGGGGAAGTAGCGTGCAGCCCACCCTATTAAGTGTCAGGGTAGGACACAATGCCGTTATTTGCTCCAGTATGTTAAGAGCTTGACACACAGCCACAAGCATGTGTACACATATTCCCGTACACACACACACACACACACACACACACACACGACTCTAGAAGCACAGAATTGAGAAAGTGGCATGTGCTGATGGCCCTGGTGGATTTTGGCAATTTATCTGAAAGGCCAAGAGATGGGCAACAAGGATTTGGGGAAGAAAAACATAGCCTAAAATGTTGAATTTGGCAGATCTCCGCTCGCCTGTCAGTCCAATTAAGAATTTGAAATTGTAGCCGAAGATAAATATCTTTCCTTCTATCAGAAAAAAATGTGTAGGTGTTAAAAGCTGCAATCATCTCCAAAGAGTCTTGCTGTCAGTCTTTGCCTCCCAGGCTTAGGAACTTTCAGCCTCTCTGTTCCTGCTCTACAAAGTTCCCACCATCAAGATGTCAGGCATTGTCAACAGTGTCCCTTGACTAAAGCATGGTTTAGCTAATTGTTTGTGGACCATAGAGCCAGGAGAAACTTGGGAATGAAATCTATTTTGCATGAACCTGAACAGAAGCTTGTGCCACTGGACAGGGGAAGTACCAGCTTGAGATTATCTGTTCAGAGCATTCGAGATCTCCCAACCTGGTGAGCACAAGATCTGTGCCACGCGGGAACAGCAGAGAAACACAATAGAAAGTTCGGTGCTTGTTTCACGATAGCTTGGTGCAGTTCTCCCTGTTGGACATCATGAAACAGAAATAACTGGGGTTTCACTTTGAAATTTTTATTCGAGGAATTCAAATGGCAGTGTAGCATTTCTTTGAACCTTTCTGCATTGATGCAAATCTGTTGGGCTCTTCAGTAAATGACATATTTGAAGGGCTTACTCAGTATTCGTTGAATATTTGGTGACTAATCCTAAGACCTCTCTGAGTTTGAAGGAGTGTTTGTGATTATAGGTCATAAGGAAGGCGTTTTTTAAGTCCAGGTTGACCGTCTGTGAAAAGTGCCTAGCAACCATCCCTTTATCCATCGGTCTGAGTTAGCAGTTGTTTGTCATAATAATTAGTCCAATTCTCTTGGGTGCAGTAATTAGCCAATAAAATCACACAACTCCCTGCTTGTCGCTGTTTCCTGGTGAAAGGATCAGGCGGTGAATTTAGATTCTCTATCCTCATTCAAACACTTGAAACTTTTCTTTCCAGAGTTTATTCCTCTTCAAACTTTCATGTATGGATCTCAGTATCATTCCAATTATTACATTGTTGATTATCTTCTCTACTTCCCTCCCTATATAGCACTGAATATGCACCAGAAGTACAATTATAGAAACTTTAAGGATTTCGCGCATTTCACAGGTGTAACTTTTTTATTGCAGTGAAATTTGCATAACATAAAATTAACCATTTTAAAGTGACCAATTCATGGGCATTTAGTACAGTCACAGTGTTGTACAATTCCTGCCTCTATCGAGTTCCGAATTATTTTCATCACCCCCAAAGAAAACCCCACACCCATTATGTAATCACTCCCCATTGTCCCCTGCCCCCAGCCCCTGGCAACCACTGATCTACCTTCTGTCGCTATGGATTTTTGCCTGTTCTGGACATTTCATCCAAGTACATCATACAATATGTGGCCTTTTGTGTCTGGCTTCTTTCACTTATCATAATACTTTCAGGGTTCATCCATGTCATAGCATATGTCAGTCTTTCATTCCTTTTTATGGCTGAAAAATACTCCATTGTATAGATGTGCCCACAGATGTAATTTTTATAGCCAAGACATATTTCTTTATAAAATCCAAAACTTTAAGAGCCATTAGGAGATGCAAGAGGAGATCTGTCTTTTAGTGTAACCAGGTTGACGTTTTTCTAAATTAAATGGAAGAGTACAGACCTAGAATTGTCTTCCTGGCTGCTGCCAGCTAGCTCTGTGGTCTTGTATAAATGAGCATCAATGCCCTTCGTTAGAAAATAAGTAACTAGGTTATGGCTAAATCATTTAAAGGTTGTTCCTTTGCTCAAAAATTCCCAGTACCCTACACAGTATCCTGCACATAGTAGGTCCTCGGTGGTGTTTATCGAACTTCCTGAGATACCAAAATCAAGATTATGAGTCTAGCATAGTTTGATGTGCTCAGAAGTGGTTTACATCATCCCATAATTTTCTTGTTCTTAGAAGAATCACTTGCATCGTTAATTAGTCAAAATGTTCTGCTATTAATAATAACTTTCCCAATCAACGTGACAGTCCACTGCAGGAGACCGATACCTACCAATAGCTTGCTTTATAGATTACAAACGAGAAGTCTATCTACCTAGCAAGCTTAATGAAGAGGGGAAATGGTGGACCCATCAGGGGAATTTGTTAGGAAGCTCATGTATATTTTCCGTGGCATCTGCTGGGAATATGGTGCAAGAACATGAAGACAAGGAGAATGAAAACGAGCCTGACAAAAACTCCTTTTTTAATGTTTATTTTAGGGAGAGGCTAGTCATTGATTAAACTAATCCAATATCTGGAAACATTCTTTTTTAATCTTCACTTTGCCTTTTATGCAGCTTGAAATTTGGAAGACTCTTCTTTGAAGTGGAGCAGGGTTGAGTCTGAAGAGAACAAACAGTTTCCCAGACAGATGTGTGAAGAAATGCCTGGAGCTATGCGCTTCTCGCTGGAGTTAGATGTGCGGGGGCCAGAGAGTTAAATATACAGCAATGTGAAATATGAATATTCTTTCGCCTCCATGGGGAATTTTGTCCCGATAGTAAAAAGGAAGGGAGGAAGCCATTCTTCTGTTTTCCCAGCTCCTCTGCCTCCTCTCGTAGCTTATACTCATTTGCATTGTGTTGCCTGTTGTGCCACTCCGAGATTTTTCTTGAGGCTCACGTGTAAAAACAGCAGTGGTGGGCTTCCCTGGTGGCGCAGTGGTTGAGAGCCCGCCTGCCGATGCAGGGGACACGGGTTCGGGCCCCGGTCCGGGAAGATCCCACATGCCGCGGAGCGGCTGGGCCCGTGAGCCATGGCCGCTGAGCCTGCGCGTCCGGAGCCCGTGCTCCGCAGCAAGAGAAGCCATCGCAATGAGAAGCCCTCGCACCGCAACGAAGAGCAGCCCCCACTCGCCGCAACTAGAGAAAGCCCGCACGCAGCAGTGAAGACCCAACACAGCCAAAAATAAATTAATTTTAAAAAAAACACGATTTCTTAATGATATTTCTTTTCCTTTTATTTTTTCATTCCTATGCAGTGATGGTAAAAGCCAGCTTGACATTTCTAAAAAGTTGTTTTGTTTCAATTACAGAGTCTCCATGGCAACGGCATCATCCCAGGTGCTAATTCCTGAAATCAACCTCAACGACACCTTTGACACCTTTGCCTTAGATTTTTCCCGAGAGAAGAAATTGCTAGAATGTCTGGATTACCTTACAGGTATTGTCTTTTGTGTTTTCTTTAATACTGGGTACGTTCAGTGATACTTCATTAGGAATGAAGTCTAATATCCCCGTAAAACATTTTTGGTATTCCTTTGGTTGGTTGGTTGGTTTGTTTGTTTTCCAAGCAAAATAATACAGTCCAAGACTAAACTGGGGACAGAGGCAAAAAGAGAATCTCGGTCATTGAAAGCATACTGACCACCATTTCCCGCACTCTCGGCGTGTGGGTACCACACATGATACCTCTGTTGGCCATCAGAGAGGTACATGGGGCAGCGTGGCTGTTTTCCGTTTCATGTCAGCAAGGCAGATGACTCTCACAGTGCCTTGGCAGAGAAAAACTTAGCAGCTAACTCTAATGGGGGTATCTGCTCTGCCCTGGCTCTTTGTGTTTGTTTAATCTTCCCAACATCGAATTGAGGTAAAGTATTATAATCCTCATTTTGCAAACGACAGAGGTCATCCATCTTGCTGGAGGTCAGATAGCTAGGGAGAGGCAGAATTAGGATTTAGCTCAGGTCTGTACAGGCTCCAAAGACCTCCTTACTTTCTAGTAAAAGACTCAATTTCGTCTTGGCAAAGGTCACCGTGGCAGATGTCCCAAAAATCACACTTGTATTCCTGGTGCCATGTTTCACTTCTGTGCTTTTTGATAGGCACTTTTTTGGGGGGTGGGGGTGGGGGGGTGAGGTCAAGCTTAAGAAACGAAAGCAGCCATAATAAAAGAAACCTCTGGCTACTCCTTTTCCTAACCACGCTTCCGAATTTTTCTTAGCCGTCGACCGCTAAGGCAAGAACTGACCACATTCGCTCATAGAATGTTGACTGTTCAGATGACTTTATTTGCGTTATCCAGAGCCGCGGGTGCCGCGGGGAATTCAGTGAAGCTCCGCGTCTACAGTGAAGCCAGCTGTGCACTGAATTTAGAATGTGCCACCTTCAAGAGACCACATCCCTAACTTAGCGCGGCACCAGTGTCTCCACCCTCATTGTGTATGTGTGTTTGTGGGAGAGCAGTTGGGAAAGGGGAAGCAGGAGAGACGGAGCATTGGGTGATGTTTATTTTTACAGCCTGTGGCTAGAAAGCAAAGGATTTCTATGTTCAAGGAGCACTGTACCCAGATCAGTGGTGCCGGTTTTAGCCTTTGTGCATTTGCAAGGGAGGCGAGTCACCCCAGAAACATCTTCTTATCTTAGGTGATTCTTTCACACCATACGATGCCTATGAAGGAAGAAATAAGTTGACTCAAAAAGCACGTCCAGTAAGAAACCAAACTGGATTTCAACTATTTATGAGTGTAGCTTTTCACTCTGAGATTGACCTCAACTAACACCATGCCACAGAACTTTCTAGGATGATAGAAGCACTCTGCACTGTCCAGTAGGATACCTGCTAGCCACGTGGGGCTGTGTTGAAAACCTGAAATGTGGTTAGTGAGTTTTTACTTTTGTTTCACTTTAATTAAAGTGAAATGTAAAGGGCCACACGGAGCTCGTGGCTACTGTGTTGGACCATGCAGGTGAGCCTTTCTCGGGCTGAGATGCCTTTGATGATGGCATCCTATTAAAAATCTCCTGTTTTCTTATATCATTTGGGAATGAGTGTGGTCACAGCAACAGAAAATCCAGTTAGCAGTGACTAAACCCATCAGACAGTGTTCCTATCACAGAAACAGGAGAACAGAGGCTTCTGTTGCCGTCCAGGGCTGGGCAGCGGTTCAGTGATGACGTCGGACCCCAGGCTCTTTCTCTTTTTGTGCTCTGCCACCGTCATTGTCTTGCCACGTGACTGCAGAACTACTCCACCTCCAGGCGTTATGCCCAAGTTACGGACAAAAAGAGAGGGACAGACGGGAAATGATGACCAAAAGCTCCGTCAGCCAAGTCTGTTTATGAGGAAAACCAAAAGCTTGTTCAAAAAGATCCATCTAGCAAACTTCCACTCGTGTCTTGTGGGCTAGATCCATGTCATAAGGTCACGCCCAAGGGCAGAGAAGAGCAAAAAGTGTTCGGCCGGGCACGTGGCCATTCTGCACAGAATCAGTGTCTTATTGTCAAGAATGTCCTTCCCATTTCCCCAGAATTGTTTAAGAGCATTTCAATAACGTATGCCCATTCTAATCTCTATGTGAATGCCAGCGTACTGACTGCAGGGGAAACTGTGAAAGTAGTTTGCACTGACTTGTAGAGTGTACGCCATATATCATCCCGATGGCTGTTTATGCCAAACTAAAGACCATATGGGGTACCTGCTATTACGCCTTCTTAGCTGTCACCCTCCGATACAAATTTGGACCATTTCTAGACATAACATCGATCCTGGCCATAACATACAATGCTCGGCTGATACTGCCAAGTCCAAATAGTTTATCAGACATTCGTAAGCAGGAAATGGAGTGTTTGTGGGGCATTAGCCCACCATTTCTTGTGTCCTGTTTATGACAGAGGCAAGAAAATAACAGTTCTGGTATACCAGCTGCATGAATATTGAAACTGGCAACGTGCTGCTGTTCTCGTTTACCGTAAGCTGGATATTGACTTTTCAGGACAAACCCCATTGGCTTTATAATCAAAACAGGGCTAGTCTGCCTGGCTGTGAAAACAAGATTTTTTTTTTTCTCGCCTCTGACATGCCTCTAAATGGTACGTCAAGTGAATAACCCGGAGGGGTGACATTCCCTCCCTGATTACAGCCCCTGCCACGTGTCTCCCAGCTACCTGCCGATTTCAAACACAGTGTTCTTTATATGTAATCATGTATTGCAGTGCAGAGAGAACCAAACCTTTCTACGTTGGTTGATGGAGAAATAATTCAATGAACTGTTTAGATGATGGGAGAGTAAATATTTCTCCACTGACCCATGCAGGGTGATCCCACACTAACAGTAAGGGACCACACGGACAGTAATAAGCATGTTTATGATGCAGCTGGGCCTCCTCCGTGGAAGGCGTCTCTCGATCGGTATATCACTTATTCATCCGAGTCACAGCACATGGCACTAAATCTTTGTTTTTCACTAATAAATTCTACCATTTTTTTCATTTTTTAAAACATTTCAGCTTTATTAAGGTATAATCGACAAATAAAATTGTAAGATATTTAAAGTATACATCTTAGTGATTTAAGTTTTGTATTTTTGGATCTTGTTAAAGAAACCTTTCCCCATCCTGAGTCACAAAGATATTCTGCTTCTTCCGTTAGCCTCACTGTTTTACTTTTCCATTTATATCTTTAAGCTATCTGAAGTTTACCTTTGTATTTAGTGTAAGGTAGGGATTTAACTGAATTTTTCGTCATATTTTGAACCAGTTTTATCAACATAATTTCTAAGCAATCTATTCCTTCCTCATGAAGATGGCTTTGCCACCTTTGTGGTGCTGCCTTTTTTGTACGTCAAGTTCTACGTATCATGGGTCTATTTCCAAGCTTTCTATCTGTTCTTTTTTTTTTTAAACATCTTTATTGGAGTATAATTGCTTTACAGTGTTGTGTTAGCTTCCGCTGTATAACAAAGTGAATCAGCTATACGTATACATATGTCTCCACATCCCCTCCCTCTTGCGTCTCCCTCCCACCCTCCCTATCGCACCCCTCTAGGTGGTCACAAAGCACCGAGCTGATCTCCCTGTGCTATGCGGCTGCTTCCCACTAGCTATCTGTTTTACATCTGGTAGTGTATATATGTCCACGCCACTCTCACTTTGTCCCAGCTTACCCTTCCCCCTCCCCGTGTCCTCAAGCCCATTCTCTATGTCTGCATCTCTATTCCTGTCCTGCCCCTAGGTTTTTCAGAACCTTTTTTTTTTTCCCTTAGATTCCACATATATGTGTTAGCACACGGTATTTGTTTTTCTCCTTCTGACTTACTTCACTCTGTACGACAGACTCTGGGTCCATCCACCTCACTACAAATAACTTCAATTTCGTTTCTTTTTATGGCTGAGTAATACTCCACTGTATACATGTGCCACATCTTCTTTATCCATTCATCTGTCGATGGACACTTAGGTTGCTTCCACGTCCTGGCTATTGTAAATAGAGCTGCAGTGAACATTGGGGCGCATGTCTTTTTGAGTTACGGTTTTCTCAGGGTATATGTCCAGGAGTGGGATTGCTGGGTCGTATGGTAATTCTCTTTTTAGTTCTTTAAGGAACCTCCATACTGTTCGCCACAGTGGCTGTATCAATTTACATTCCCACCAACAGTGCAGGAGGGTTCCCTTTTCTCCACACCCTCTCCAGCATTTATTGTTTCTAGATTTTTTGATGATGGCCATTCTGACTAGTGTGAAGTGATACCTCGTTGTAGTTTTTTGTTTGTTTGTTTTTGTTTTGTGGCGGTACGCGGGCCTCTGGCCTCTCCCGTTGCGGAGCACAGGCTCCGGACGCGCAGGCTCAGCGGCCATGGCTCACGGGCCCAGCCGCTCCGCGGCATGTGGGATCTTCCCGGACCGGGGCACGAACCCGCGTCCCCTGCATCGGCAGGCGGACTCTCAACCACTGCGCCACCAGGGAAGCCCACCTCGTTGTAGTTTTTTTTTTGGTTGGTTGGTTGGTTTGTTTGTTTGTGGTATGCGGGCCTCTCACTGTTGTGGCCTCTTCCGTCGCAGAGCACAGGCTCCGGACGCACAGGCTCAGCGGCCATGGCTCACGGGCCCAGCCGCTCTGCGGCATGTGGGATCCTCCCGGACCGGGGCACGAACCCATGTGCCCTGCATCGGCAGGCGGACTCTCAACCACTGCGCCACCAGGGGAGCCCTGTAGTTTTGATTTGCACTTCTCTAATGAGTAGCAATGCTGAGCATCCTTTCATGTGTTTGTTGGCAAGCTGTATATCTTCTTTGGAGAAATGTCCGCTTAGGGCTTCTGCGTATTTTTGGATTGGGTTGTTCTTTTGATATTGAGCTGCATGAGCTGCTTCTATGTTTTGGAGATTAATTCTTGGCTTCACGTGCAAATATTTTCTCCCATTCTGAGGGTTGTCTTTTCGTCTTGTTTATGGTTTCCTTTGCTGTGCAAAAGCTTTGAAGTTTCATTAGGTCCCATTTGTTTATTTTTGTTTTTATTTCCATTTCTCGAGGAGGTGGGTCAAAAAGGATCTTGCTGTGATTTATGTCATAGAGTGTTCTGCCTATGTTTTCCTCTAAGTTTTATAGTGCCTGGCCTTACATTCAGGTCTTTAATCCATCTTGAGTTTATTTTTGTGTATGGTGTTAGGAAGTGTTCTAATTTCATTCTTTTACATGTAGCTGTCCAGTTTTCCCAGCACCACTTATTGAAGAGGCTGTCTTTTCTCCGTTGTATATTCTTGCCTCCTTTATCAAAGATAAGGTGACCGTAGGTGCGTGGTCTTCTCTCTGGGCTTTCTATCCTGTTCCATTGATCTATACTTCTGTTTTTTTTGTTTTTTTTTTATACTTCTGTTTTTGATGACACTAAATCTTGCCTGTGGATACTTCAGGAGACAGATGTATGAAGTCATATTCCAGAAAGAATGCTTTAAGGCTCTGTAGAGCCCTTCCATCTTGATACACAACTTTCTTTTTCAAGTTATCTCTTTTTTTTTAATTTACTTTGTTGAAGTAGAGGTGATTTACAATGTTGTGTTAGTTTCAGGTGTACAGCAAAGTGATTCAGTTATACATATACATATAATATATATATATATATATATATATATATATATATAGTATACACAAGCTTCCGGCAAAACCCAAATGAACTTTTTAGCCAACCCAATATATTCTTTTTCATATTCTTTTCCATTATGGTTTATCACGGGATATTGAATATAGTTCCCTGTGCTATACAGTAGCACCTTGCTGTTTATCCATCCTATATATAATAGTTGGCATCTGCTAGTCCCAAACTCCCACTCCATCCCTCCCGCACCTCCCCTCCCCCTTGGCCACCACAAGTCTGTTCTCTGTGTCTGTGAGTCTGTTGCTGTTTCATAGATAGGTTCATCTGTGTCATATTTTAGATTCCACATGTAAGTGGTATCATATGGTATTTGTCTTTGCCTGCCTGACTTACTTCACTTAATGTGATCATCTCTAAGTCCATGGCACATGGCATTATTTCATTTTATGGCTGAGTAGTATCCCTTAACGCACACCGTGATGCAGCGGCTGCCGCCATGATGTCTGTGGAATTCAGTAATCAATAGACTGAGCTGGGCTAACTGACTTGATGCCACAGATGTAAAAGGGACTTGCTTCGTACGATATGTGTCCCGCAGGTATCGTCAAGTGGCGAAGTGCAGAGTACTAAAACGACTCAAGTTTAAAATTTTACCATTTTCATAAACTTCCCTCCCTCTTGGGGTTTCTTTGGGACTAATGCATCCTAATCAAAGTTTCACGCAGGAAAGAGTTCTCCAATAGTGTAAGCAAACGTTGCTCATCCGTCGGATGCAGATATATTTTTCTCGTTTTGAAGTTAGGTTCTGGTGTACAGAAGAATGGAAAAAAAGGCCTGGATCGACGCTTTAAACCAGGGCTCGGCAGACTGTGACTGTAAAGGGCCAGATGGTAAATATTTTAGTCTTTGCAGGACATATGGTTGCAACTACTCAATTCTGCTATTGCACAAAGGCAGCCAGAGACAGTCCATAAGTGAATGAGCCTGGCTGTGTTTCAATAAAACTTTATTTACAAAAACAGGCCGTGGGCCAGATTTGGCCCATAGCCATAGCTTGCCAGCTCCTGCTCTAAAATATTATTGCCGGTGCAAAGCACTCACTGCCTAGGCTTTTTCTTGCTCACAAACTCGTCTCATAAAAGCAGTTATTGAAATCCGTCCAGTAGAAGTCCACTTAAAATCATCATTTGGGTAGGATTTAGACTTCTCCACTCCAGAATGTGTTCAAGACATAAAACAGCAGCCTTCCCCAACGATAAGTTAATCAAATGCCAAGGCATCCTGTTTTTCTTGAGGAAGGAGAATGTACTTCTTAGATATGATTGATTGGCAATCGTGTTCTTAATTTGACATATCACCTATCAACTGAAAAATGAGAAGAAAACTGAATCACACTAATACATTTTTATAAGGCCTCAAAACATGTAATGAAAGAAAATTTTCAGACACTTATCTGACTGATATGTTATGGGATAACAAACATCAGTATTTTTGCAGTTGGGCGCCTGAATATAAAAATACGTGGCATCTTGTAGCTCAGAGGTTGGCTAACTGGCTCACATGCCAAATCTGGTCCTCACTTGTTTTTGTAAATAAAGTTCTACTGGAACCTGGCCGGGTCTACTTGAGTACACATTGTCTCTGGCCGCTTTCACGGTACAGAACAGAGACCAGAGGACCCACAAAGCCTAAAATATTTACCATCTAGCTCTTTACCGAAGAAGTTTGCCATCCCCACAATGGGGATGAAATGACAAGAGTTCATCTTGTTTACTTTTTGTTTGACATGTTTTCTTTCACGAATAAGAGAGTTTGTTTGCTTACCCTTCTGAACATGCTTTCATGATAAACGGAGAGAAGGTACTGGCTGGCTGAAGTCACACTACCTGGGAAAAATCACAGTGATATAACCAGCCACGCAAATGCTCTTTGGATTGGCGTCACCATCTCTTGGGTAGCAGTTCTCATGGATATGTTTTAAAAGGCCTGCTTTGACTGTCAGACATCTCCTTTGAGATGTATCCCAGAGGTGTCTGCTTCTCTGCTGATGACCGTCTTGCTCCCCACAGCTCCCAACCCCCCCACAATTAGAGAAGAGCTCTGCACGGCTTCCTATGACACCATCACCGTTCACTGGACCTCCGATGACGAATTCAGTGTGGTTTCCTACGAGCTGCAGTACACCATATTCACCGGACAAGCCAATGTTGTGAGTGAGTATCGCACGCCCTCTTGACTTCTCTGTTTGGTGACTGCTTTCAGATCGACTGCATTTCTGAATTTAAATATCGAGGGAAGACGAGGACGGAAAGAGTACACAATATTTATCGGTTTGTCTTTCCTAACCAAGAAGACGGTAGCACTCACTCGTACTGTGCTAGGAAAAATAACAGGCCAGATGGCGTTGAAAATTCTTGATCTCTAGCAAACCACGTGGACGACTCTTACAAACATATTGTTAAAGGAATCGGGAAACAAAAGGATGACCGCACTAGGAGTCTGTTTGTACATAAGTTAAAGATAAAAAGCTCTTGTGTTTAGAGATGTACACACAGGTGTAAGACCTATAAATAAAAGTCAGGATGACGGTTGCCTCTTGGATGGGAGGGCAGTAGCACCACTGGAAAAACACGGGGAGATCATGGGGTTAACAGCACTTTCTGGGTGGGAGTTACATGGTTTAGTCATTATATCATACATTTAGTTTTCTTTTCTGAGTGTTACTTCAGAATTTTTTTGTCGTTATTAACCTTGGGTCTGTGTCACTTTATTTTTTATTTTAGTTTTTATTTCATATTAGAGTACAGTTGACTTACAGTGTTGTGTTAGTTTCGGGCGTACAGCAAAGCGATTCAGCTATACAGATACGTATATCCGTTACTTTACAGATTCTTTTCTCATATAGGTTATTAGAGAATAGTGACCAGAGTTCCCTGTGCTGTACAGTAGGCCCTTGTTGGTTATCTGTTGTATATATAGTAGTGTGGAGATGTTAATCCCAAACTCCTAATCTATCCCTCCCCCGACCTCTCCCCTTTGGTAACCGTAAGTTTGTTTCTGAAGTCTGTGAGTCTGTTTCTGTTCTGTACACAAGTTCATTGGTATCTTTTTTTAGATTCCACATGGAAGTGATATCACAGGGTACTTGCCTTTCTGACTTACGTCACTTAGCATGATCACCTCTAGGTGCATCCATGTTGCTGCAGATGGCATTATTTCATTCTTTTTTATGTCTGAGTACTAGTCCGTTGTGTATATGTGCCACATCTTCATTATTCACTCCTCTGCCGATGGACACATCTAGGTTGCTTGCACGCCTTGGCTATTGTAAGTGGCGCTGCACTGAACACTGGGGTGCACGTATCTTTTCAAATTATGGTTTTCTCTGGATACATGCCCAGGAGTGGGACTGCTGGATCATATGGTATAGTTCTATTTTAAGTTCTTTTCGGGAACCTCCATACTGTTCTCCATAGTGGCTGCACCAATTCACATTCCCACCAACAGCATAGGAGGGTTCCCTTCCCTCCACACCCTCTCCAGCATTTATGGTTTGTAGATTTTTTAATGATGGCCGTTCTGAGCCGTGTGAGCTGACACCTCATGGTCGTTTTGATTTGCATTTCTCTAATAATTAGTGATGTTGAGCATCTTTTCATGTGCTTTTTGGCCATCTGTATGTCTTCTTTGGAGAAATGTCTCTTTAGATCTTCTGCCCATTTGTTCACTGGGTTGTTTTTTTGATATTGAGCTGCATGAGCTGCTTTTGTATATTTTGGAGATTAATCCTTTGTCAGTTGCTTTGTTTGCAAATATTTTCTCCCATTTTGTGGGTTGTCCTTTTGTTTTGTTTATGGTTTCCTTTGCTGTGCAAAAGCTTTTAAGTTTAATTAGGTCCCATTTGTTTATTTTTGTTTTTATTTTCATTACTCCAGGAGGTGGATCCAAAAAGATATTGTTGCAATTTATGCAGAGATTGTTCTGCCTATATTTTCCTCCGAGAGTTTTATAGTATCTGGTCTTACATTTAGGTCTTTAATCCATCTTGAGTTGATTTTTGTGTATGGTGTGAGAAAATGTTCTCGTTTCATTCTTCAACATGTTGCTGTCCAGTTTTCCCTGCAACACTTATTGAAGAGGCTGTCTCTTCTCCATTGTGTATCCTTGCCTCCTTTGACATAGATTAGTTGACCATAGGTGCAAGGGTTTATTTCTGGACTTTCTATCCTGTCCCACTGATCTATATTTCTGTTTCTCTGCCAATGCCATAGTAGCTTTGTAGTCAAGGAGCCTGATTCCTCCAGCTCTGTTTTCCTTTCTCAGGATTGCTTTGGCTCTTCGGGGTTTTTTGTGTTTCCATACAAATTAAAAATTTTTTTGCTCTAGTTCTGTGAAAAATGCCATTGGTAATTTAACAGGGATTGTGCACTGAATCTGTAGCTTGCCTTAGGTAGTATACTCATTTTGACAATATTGATTCTTCCAATTCAAGAACAATATTGATTTTTCCAATTCCTTTCCATCTGTGTGTGTCATCTTCAGTTTCTTTCATCAGCATCTTATAGTTTTCGAGTACAGGTATTTTGGCTCCTTGGGTAAGTTTATTCTTAGGAATTTTATTCTTTTTGATGTGATGGTAAATGGGATTGTTTCCTTAATTTCTCTTTCTGACCTGTCATCGTTAACATATAGAAATGCAAGAGATTTCTGTGTATTAATTCTGTAAGCTGCAACCTTACCACATTCATTGATGAGCTCGAGTAGTTTTCTGGTAGCATCTTTAGGATTTTCTATGTATAGTATCATGTCCTCTGTGAACAGTGGCAGTTTTACTTCTTTTCCAGTTGGGATTCCTTCTATTTCTTTTTCTTCTCTGATTGCCATGGCTAGGACTTCCAAAGCTATGTTGAAGAAAAGTGGTGGGAGTGCGCATCCTTGTCTTGTTCCTGATCTTAGAGGAAATGCTTTCGGCTTTTCACTGTTGAGTATCATGTTAGCTGTGGGTTTGTCATATATGGTCTTTATTATGTTGAGGCTCTGTGCCCACTTTCTGGAGAGTTTTTTATGATAAATGGGTGTTGCATTTTGTCAGAAGCTTTTTCTGCATCCGTTGAGATGATCATATGGTTTTTCTCCTTCAGTTTGTCAATGTGGTGCATCACACTGATTGATTTGCGTATGTTGAAGAATCCTTGCATCCCTGGGATAAATCCCACTTGATCACGGTGTATGATCCTTTTACTGTATTGTCGGGTTCGGTTTGCTAGTATTATGTTGAGGAATTTTGCATCTGTATTCATCAGGGATATTGGCCTGTAATTTTCTTTTTTTGTGCTATCTTTGTTTGGTCTTGGTATCAGGGTGATGGTGGCCTCGTAGAATGAGTCTGGGGGTGTTCCCTCCTCTGCGATTTTTTTGGAAGAGTTTCAGAATGATAGGTGTTAACTCTTCTCTAAATGCTTGGTAGAATTCGCCTGTGAAGCCATCTGCTCTTGGACTTTTGTTTGTTGGGAGTTTTTAAGTCACATTTTCCATTTCAGTACTTGTGATTGGTCTGTTCACAGTTTCTATTTCTGCTTGGTTCAGTCTTGGGAGATTGTAACTTTCTACGAATTTGTCCGTTTCTTATAGGTTGTCCATTTCATTGGCATAGAGTTGCTTGTAGTAGTCTCTTATGATCCTTTGTATTTCTGTGGTGCCTGTTGTAACTTCAACTTTTTCATTTCTAATTTTATGGATTAGAGCCTTCTCCCTTTTTTTCTTGATGAGTCTTGCTAAAGATTTATCAATTTTGTTTACGTATTCTTTGTCTCTATCTCATTTCTTTCTGCTCTGATCTTTAGGGTTTCTTTCCTTCTACTGACTTTGGGTTTTGTCTCTTCTTCTTTCTCTAGTTGCTTTAGGCATAAGGTTAAGTTGTTTATTTGAGATTTTTCTTGTTTCTTGAGGTAAGACAGTATTGCTATAAACTTCCCTCTTACAGTTGCTTTTGCCGCGTCCCGTAGGTCTTGGGTCATCAGGCTTTCGTTTGTCTCTAGGTATTTTGTCATGTCTTCTTTGATTTCTTCAGTGATCCATTGGTTGGTTAGTAGCATATTGTTTCACCTCCACGTGTTTGTGTTTTGTACAGTTGTGGGTTTTCTTGTAGTTGATTTCTAATCTAATAGCGTTGTAGTCGGAGAAGATGCTTGATACGAGTCCAATTTTCTTAAATTTACCGAGGCTCGCTTTGTGGCTCAGCAGTGTCATCTCTCCTGGAGAATGTTATGTGTGCCTTTGAGAAGAATGTGTAATCTGCTGCTTTCAGATGGAATGTTCTATAAGTATCAATTAAGTCCATCTGGTCTCATGTGTCATTTAAGGCCTGTGTTTCCTTATTGATTTTCCGTCTGGATGATCTGTCCGTTGATGTAAGTGGGGTGTTAAAGTCCCCCACTGTTACTCTGTTACTGTTGATTTCTCCTTTTACGGCTGTTAGCATTTGCCTTGCATACTGAGGTGCTCCTTTGTTGGGTGCATATACATTTACAATTGTTTTATCCTCTTCACGGCTTGATCCTTTGATCACTGTATATATATAGTGTCCTTCTTTGTCTCTTGTAACAGTCTTGATTTTAAAGCCTATTTTGTCTGACATGAGTATGGCTACTCCAGCTTTCTTTTGATTTCCGTTTGCATGGAATACCTTTTTCCGTCTTCTCACTTTCAGTCTGTATGTGTCCCTAGGTCTGAAGTGGGTCTCTTGTAGACAGCACATATACGGGATTTATTTTTGTATCCATTCAGCCAGTTTATGTCTTTTGGTCGGAGTATTTAATCCTTTTACATTTCAGGTAATTATCAATATGTATGTTCTTATTGCCATCTTGTTCATTGTTTTGGATTTGTTTTTGTAAGTCTTTCTTCTTCCCTTCCTCTTTTGTTCGCTTCTCTTGTGATCTGATGACTGTCTTTAGTGTTGTGTTTGCGTTGCTTTTTCTTTTTTAATTCATTAGTCTGAATTCTTCTTCAGGTAGATTACCTATCTCCACTTCACTTAGTTGTTCTTCTGGGGTTCTCTCTTGTTCCTTTGTCTGGAATATATTTCTCTGCCGTCTCATTTGGTGTAACTGTCTGTGTTTGTGGTCTCTGTTTCTCAGGCTGCACGTTTGTAGTTCACTCTTTCTTCTGGTGTCTGCACCCTGGTGGGTGAGATTGGTCCAGAGGCTTGTGC